ACCATTGGTGTTAGTGATCGTAGAGCTCCAGCTCCATACCAGACTGTGCATAGTTGAGGAGGCAGAGTGTGTCCGCCGTGCCCTGCGTGAGGCAAGGGGGACATAACTTTGGATTGGAATAGAAGGAGGACAGATGATAAAATACGTGCTCCAAGTGACACCTTTCGGAGGGCGGTCTAGGATAAGAGCATGGTACGAGACGACCAGAGAGGCTGAAAGGTTGAAGATAACCGAAGCTAGGAAAGCAAGAGAGTTAGGGAAAGTTGTAATAGATGGTGCAATAATCAGGGTGTTAGCCGCTCACAACCGGTACTGGAAGGAAACAATAAAGACTTTAGAGGCGTAGACGATGGAGGAGATAATGAGGACTTTGAGACATTTTATGACATATTGGAGCGGTCGGCGATGAGGTTACAAGTGGTTATAGCACTAACTTACCTCARCTGTTAGAMAGATGACCTCGTAGCCGTTGAGGAGATAAGGTAGTGGAAATAGAAATTGGAAGCTCTTGGAAGGATAGAGGAAGCTAGAAAGGTTGATGGGCGACATTGGACGGCAGTAGGAGGGCCTTTAGCGGGCTAATCGATTTAGACAGGGCTAGGAGAACTAGCAAGGAGGACGGAGAGAGACGCTCAGAGACTCTTGAGGGGTGTCACGGGTGAACTGCAGATCTGGAGAGGCACGACCTTGTTGGCCGATCCCGAAGGAGAGGTTTACTTAGACACAGGGATTCTTGGGATAGAGGGAGAACACGAGATCTGCGGCCGGTACGGGTTACTAGAGGTGGTAATCAAGGCAATCGAGAGCTAAGTTTGAAGGCGGACGTGAGCCGTGACAAGGAAACAGGTCCGGGGTGCCGCAACTTTCACAGGTCCGGGCTGCAGCGACTGTCATAGGGTCGGGTTGTAACAGTTGGCAAGAAAACCTAACTGCGTCTTTAGGCGGTCCAATGAAACCCGACACGATGGGGCCACAACCGACCATGGGCGAAGCGGGAGAGGAGTATAGGACATCGCCCGATCGAGCTCTGAGAGAACTGAAGGAACGAATTAGGCAAGAAGCACCGGTGAGATGGGCTGACCAAACAAATGACGGAGGGCCCGACGTAAGAGGCGAACCAGTTGCGACAGAGCCGCAGGAGGCTCTAAGGACGGATACCTCGAGCGGACGACGAGAAACGACGAGACAACGCTCCCCCGAGTACGAGCGGAGGGACACCATAGCGGATAGGCACAAAAACGACTGGAGAGAGAGTTTGAGGGATTCCTATTGGAGGGACAGAGATAGAGACAGGGCGCCACCCAGGCGAGTCTTCGACCCCCAGACAGGGGAGTCACATCCACTCCCTTACGAGAGCAAGGATCGCTATATTATTACGCACAAGGCCTCAGAGCTTCCTACCTTCAGGGGTTATGGTATCACAGAATATCTGGAGAAGTGGGAGCTTCACGCCAGCCGGAGTCAGTGGTCGGAGGAAAAGGTTATAGATAACTTCCTATTTAATGTGGACCCAAGTCTTGGTAGGGAAGTTAAGGAAGTTGACTAAAGGATGGGAAATGGACTACGTACAAGAAGAACCTCGTTGAGCTTTACAAATTGGAGGATAACAAGTATTCCATCAAGGACCTTGAAACAATGACTCAAGATGAAGATAAGAGTGTACGGGCATTTGGGATGCGTTTCCAAAAGATCTCCGACGTGCTGATGAAGAAGGGGAAGATCTCAGAGGTCGAGCGTTGTACTATCTTCATCGGACACTTGTCCGAAGGCAGGCAGAAGAGTATACTAAGAAATCTTCCGCGCGACAGGCTTGATTTCCCAGAAGTCCTAAAGCTCGCGATAAAGGCAGAGGCAGACGATTACAAGGACTTGGTGTGGAGAGGGATGAGGAGACGTGACTCCTCTCTCTACAAGGAGTATGCCACTGATAGATGTCATGATTTCAAGGATTATCCCTGGTCGAAGAAGAATGAGGTCGTGGCTGAGGAAGTGAAGGAGATACGGGACATGGTGAAGGGATTAACGAGACAGGTTACGGAGATTGTGACCGCTACAGGGGCCACGGCCTACCGGGACAAACCTGGAGGGCCCTATTCACTTCGCTGGGACCGTAGGAACAACGATCCCTGGAGGAGTGTCGAGGATAGAAATCCTCGGACGCTGACTGATTATCGTACGAGGGGAAGAGAGAGAGACGATGAATCATGGCGACGTAGGGACGATGAGATAGACCGAGACCGCAGAGATCGCGAGCCGTTTGTGCGAGAAAGGAGGCTGGATGATTACCCGCGAAGCCCTTGCTATGAGGCCGATCGGGGTAGAGGCGACTCCCGCGGCCGATGGGAGATAGAACAGGGCCGACGAGATGGATATAGGGACGACAGATACGAGAGATCGGACCGAGATGGATATAGGGACGACAGATACGAGAGGTCGGGTCGAGATGGCTACAGAGGAAGTAGATATGAGAGAGGAGATCGGGACAGGGAACGACAAGATGGGTCGCGCGGACGGTTTGAGCGCGGGGAAGATCCGAGAGAGCAGCGCGACGAGTCGCGGGGGTGGTACAACCGAGGGGACCGACGCGATGAGTCACGAGGACGATATGACTTAGGGGACCGCCGGAATGATTCGCGAGGGCGGTCTGAGCAAGGAGGGTTTGGAGGAGACCGGCGCAACGATCCGCGCGATCGGAATGAAAGAGGGGGATATGGCGTCTCATCAGAACCATATCCCAAGTCGCCTGACCCCAAGGCGACCAGGAGTTCGATCTCTAGAGGCGCAGACGACAGGGCATCTACTCCCAAGAACACATGCGTCTACTGTAAGGGAGAAGATCATATCAAGAGGGATTGCCCGGACCTCAAACGGGTAATAGATGAGGGACTTGTCGTGCTTGACGACCGCAGGTAGGTCAAGTGGGCAGATGATCTGGGAGATGTATCGATGTTCCCTTCAATGAAGGAGAATGTCGAAGCAAGGAGAATAAGGACGAGTAAAGGAATGGAGCCGGTCAGGAGCCAGAGCATCAAGATAACCTTTGAGGGGGATATCGCGACCACACCCATAAGGGTGGCAGCCGCCAAGTCGGCAAAAGGGTCTACATCGAAGAAGACTGACACGGATTACGTGATGGCGGAGAAGGACGGGCAGCGGGTCGATGAAGAAGAGGTTATTCTTTCACCGCAAAAGAGGGGAGTGAATAAGTTCTTAATGAAGAGTTCGTTGGACGAGATTGACACGGTCGAGCCACTGAGACGGGCCCTTCGAGCTGGAGTACCTGGCGGCATCGAAGCCGGCTCGTGATGAGTTACAGATGATCATGCGGAAGACTCGCATACCTCTATCGGAGGAGGGTCAGGGGGCCCCTAAGGCGGAAGCTTCTACAGTAGCAGTAACGGGGGTGACTACCAGAGCGGATCGCATGGCGACAGTCCTTCTCGATGGAATGGAAGCTGAGCCTCCAGACAAGTTTTATATACTTGGTAGCGGGGCCGTGGAGACGATTATAAACGATGGAGCGGTACTCGATGCTGTGATTGATAACGGCA